GTGAGCAGTGCAGAAAAATGATAAAATGGAAGGGGAAATTTTGGAGAAACATTTACATGGCAGTAAGAGTCATGATGTGAAATAGAAGTAGATTCATGGTCCTCTGGAGGGAGTTTATTGGCTGTCTGGTGAGAGTGGCCTGCATTTTGGTGGCACTGAAGAACCTGTAATATTGCTAAAGTCCTCTCCTGTCTTTGGAGTCACAGTCCAGCCCTTCCACTCTGGAAAGCTATAACAAAAGGTCAGACTAAACAATCTAATGATCCCTTCTGGTCTTAAATTCTATGAAAGACACTGAGGGGAAGGGGATTCTCCTATCAGCCCACTGAAGTTCACTGGGCTAGCAAAGCTTTTCTGAAGAATAAAATGGAATAGTTTGATAAGATAAAATCAGCTTGTATGAGTGCCATCAGTTCATATATGGGGTTTGGGTCCCTTCACCTTCATTCAGAATCAGGCCTCACCAGTTTACATCTAGGCTCCAGATTCTTCAGCAGAAAGGGAAGAAAGATCTGAACCAGCCACTCTTGTGCAAACTGCTTCCTGGTGGAACTGCTGTCATAGTCAAATTTCTGAAAACCAACCACAACCAAATTGAAAAAGGAATCAGTGCAACAGTCAGGAAACTTCCCCACAACAACTTCTGCATCTATCCACCTAGAGCAGCTCAAGGCTGGGACATGTGAGGAACACAGTGTCCAAGGCAGCACAGAGAGCAGAAAAGCCAACAAGTGCATCCAACGAAATAGGACTTTACACAAACAGAAGGTAAGAACATCACACATCTTACCTTCAGCACACGAGTTTTGATCTTTTCCAGAGTCTGTGTGATTTGGCTGTGGTTAGTTGCCAAGCTCAGATGTTGCTCTGAAAGCTGGTGGAATGTATGGACTGAATTCTGCATTAGCTACAAAAGAAAAAATCATCAGATGAGTAGGGGAGCCAGCACATTCAGAGACCATAGTCAGGACTCAGTTCCACATCTTCAGCAGCCACCCTCTGGATAATGCTGCCTGCTTTCTCTCTAAGATTGGTTAAATAATCCCTTCATACCCTGCTGATGCCCAAGGGAAAAAGCAGACCCCACACAAAATAAAGGTAAAAATAGATCAGCTCAGAGCTGAACACACAGGGAACGAATGCACTACCCCTTCCCTTCACCTCCACTAAGAGGCTGGCTCACCCCAGTCTGTTCTCTCAAAGTATCACCACTTACCTGCTGCATGAGGTTTTGGGCTCGGAGGACTAAACTTGCCACGCCGTGAAAGCCAAATTTCTCCTTCAGTCCTTGCAGACTGTCTTTGTAGAGATTAGCCTTCTCGTAACATGGCTCCATGAATCCAGGTTTCCAGGGCATTTCCCCAAGTGTGAGAACCTGCATCAGACCAGTAGTCAGCTAGTTAAGGTCTGTACAGTGCCTAGAGGCAGTGAAAGCCTACGTAAATGCTAAGAATTAATATTATATGGGAAAGGATCTGAGATAAAGCCATTATCCATGCACAAGCAATGTAAAACTGAAAAGAAGGCATCTCTTTGCAGAAGGACATTGACTACTTGTCTCTGGAGCCATGTTTGTCCCACAAAACCTGTTTATGGGTGATCCATGAACTGGCAGTGGAATACCCGAGTAGACTCAGACAAGTTCAGATGCCATATTCTTGTCTAACAAAGTTGCCTCTCTTTATCAAGCTGCCTCTGTGGTGTAGTCAGATTCAAAACAGCATGTGGAACTGACCTGAACTGCACTGTGCCGTTACAACAGCAGCTAGGTGAAAGTTACAAGAGCTCACCATCCGCACAGTTCAGGGCATAATCTCCTCTCTAGCTGGGGATCAGGGAAACTTTTCCTCCCATTGTACAGTTCTGCACAATTTAGATACATCACTGTGATGAGATTACAAGTATTCTACATTGATTACTGTTGGAGGCAGGATACTGGAGCTGGTGGATCACTGGTGTTCTGGGGGTCTATGGGATAGATGGAATTAAGTGGCCATCCACAATACTGAAAGTGGACGTGTAATGTGGTCTCCAGGGGAATAAGACAAAATGGTCCCTCTGTCATATCATCTACACCACTACCTCGATATAACACGATAAAGCAGTGCTCCAGGGGGGCGGGGCTGCGCACTCCGATGGATCAAAGCAAGTTCAATATAACACGGTTTCACCTATAACGGGGTAAGATTTTTTGGCTCCCGAGGCCAGCGTTATATCGAAGTAGAGGTGTATATCTTACCTCTTCCTGGAAGATGGTGGTAGGCAAACTCTGCACATGTCTGATCAGCTCATCAATTCTGTCTGCGAAGAGCGAACGCACCACGTCAAATCCTAAACTGATGGGGCGTATGAGCTCCTCCATCACACAGTCCAGGTCAGGCTCTACTCCTTGGCGACAGCAGGATTCCACTGGGTTCTGGATCACCGCTGCCAAGATAGAAACCCTTCAATTAGCCTGACAGAGTCACAGCGGAACTCAGGTTGCCCTGGATTAATTAGGCTCAAGAAGAAGACTGCAGGGTCTTGGAATGTGAAATACTCATCCATCCACCTATCCTTTATTTCTGATGTACCCATTCCCGCAATTTCTATGAATCTAGGGTATCCATCAGAATAGCATCTAATCATAAATACAGTAATCAAGATTCACATAGCATTGTCTAAAACAGTAAGACATAATGAACTCATTCCCAATCCAACCTTTCCAGTGGCAGATAATGCTGCACACGCTACTTAGAATTTCAAATACAATTGAGAGAGTTAGAATTCTAAAGCAAAGTAAATCCTGTGGATTAACAGAAGAGAACCAAACACCCCATCCCTTCACCCCCTTTCCTCTCACCTTGGAGTTTTATAGATATCTGATCCTTTAAAATCAGCATCTGATCCAGATCAGGGCGAATCTTCTTTTCCAATTGAATGTGGAGTTTCTCATTCTCCCTCTGAAAATCCAGAAATTCGCTGGAGACCTGGCTGAGGACCAATGTATAAACCTCCTCTAGGAACTGACCACCCACAGCAGGGACCAGATCAGCAAAAGGGGAGGAGAAAACAGGGAAAAAGTAAGAGGCATCATACAGGCCATGTGCAGAGATCAGGAGAAGTTTCTGGTGGTGCTGCTGGGTGCAGAGTCCTTGTCAGGTCACTCTGCTTGTAGCGGATTAGCGCACTGTCTTCTACCTATATTACATCTGTAAACATGGGGCTCTAATTGACTCATGCAGAGCCATCTGACCCAACTCAAAGGCCAGTCCAATCACTCCTGGGGCATCATTTACTTGGTAGCTACATGTAGCTATAGATAGCAGGACGCTCTTCACTCCCCACAAATACCCCATTTAAATTTTGCACAACACACTACATCAAAGGCAGCAGTTTCACAGGAAACATGAAAGGCAGAGGCTGTAGGTTGGATTTTGAGAGCAGTAGCTAATGGAGTTGTTCTTTGCGGCAGACAAATAAACACAAAGTACAAACTCCTAATGTGCTCTCCGCAACCAGAGTCTAAAAAGTTAGCTGAGTGTCACTCGTTAGTTCCTGAAACATCACTGTTTGGGTTTCAGATGTAAGCACTGCTCTGTGGACTTACTTGGCACCAGGTCTGTTTCTTCCTGCTTTCTGACCCTTTGAGATTTGGGGGGACCTGAGACTGCAGCACTGGAAGCAAATCCTCCATCAGCACATTACTGAGAATCTAAACCCAAAGAAAAAGACCATCTTCACCAAGTTACCAGCACAGAGCATGCATTAAATACTCCAGCTTTGGAATGCTCAGCACTTTACAAACCTCAGGCTCTGTTCCCAGGAGGAGATCCCCTGCTCCGTAACTACCTTTCTCTTGCCTGTAAAATCGCACAGCTTCCAGGAAAGCCTCTACTTCAAAGGAGTCCTGTCTCTGTAAAACTGAATCCAAAATACCAGTTAATCCCAGCAACATTTAGCTGAGGTTAATCAGAAAAGTCCAATCCACTCTTAGCACACTCAAATCTGGCTACATGTAACTAAGATTGCTGGTTACAAGCAGTGCTTACTTAAATGCTATGGCAATAAGTACTATATAAAACCTGTGATAGAGACTAACATTACACTAACAACAAAGAAGGGGGAAGAACCTCTGGAAATTTCTGTGGATCTGAGTGCACCAGCCTCTCCCTTTAAAGAAATGAAAGCCTAACTGCCTGAACTTGCTCAAATTAAAAATCATAAATTCAATCCAGGGAAGAATGAAAAATGTAGGAAATTTTCACACTCCTTGGACTTTCATCAGTATCACATGCGTATCTGATTCAGAAACCCAAGAGTCTACAGTGGTCCTCGGGATTTCACTGGGCCCTCAATTCACAGGTGATGCCTCACTGAATGGACTCCACACAATTTTAGGAAAGGATCCTCATGTCAGTAGCGAACTCCTGCTGTCAGCCCCATTTGCAGATGTTGCCTCAGGTCTAGTAATGCAGGCACTTCCAGGTGTTACCTGTGCTGCAATATCGGATCCCATCTCGAAGGACGGATTTCCAGGTGTGCTGGGATTTTGCAGAGTTTGCGCAAAAACAGAAGGACTTTCGGAACGGATGATAAAGGAACAGCAGAAACTCTTCTGGAGGCCCATTTAAGGGGTCTTGGTCTCGGTGGGTGTAGTCAACTTGAAAAGAAAAGTACAGAACATGCTTGCAACAATGAGTTAGAATTGATTGTTTCTAGAAATACTGTGTAATGTCTCCACAGCTCTTAATGATCCTAATGTCTCTCACTCACAGCTGCCATTTTACTGCTGACAGACACCTGAGCACCAGCAACTTCTAAGACATCAAAGGGAACTACATGTGATCAGTACCTGCTAAGATTCGGCCCATAATTTGAGAAATCTGAATGCACTGACTCAGGCTGGAGACTTGCACAGTCACTTTAAGGCATGTTCATTTTTCTAGTTAGTATTTACTAGAAAATATTGTGCCAAAATTATACACTAAGGATTTTTTCTATTCTGCCGTTAAAATCTGTTCTGTTCTGAAAGTGATTATTGAAGTCTCACTTCCTTTCTTCAGCAGACAGGAAAGATTCCTGCTTCATTAGAAATTTTTAATGTGTATTGTATGAAATAAAAAGATCAGCATTTTACATATTGTTACAAATAGTTGGAACTAGGGTACATTGCCATTTTCTTTTCAGAGCTGGCAAGTAGCACTGAGAAATGGAACAGAGCAGCTGTCTCAAATGAGTCCAGGGATTGGCAACATCTTTCTGCATCTGCTTCTAATTTCATGTCACTTCACTATGAAACCTGGGTTCTTCATCTGGCTGAATAAAGCCCTGTAACCCACCAACAGTACTAAATGTACTCCTTCAAAGAGAGAAAAAGGAGGGATAGAACAGCATGGCAAAAAGGAAACAGGTTTAAACAGCACGAGGTCCTGAAAACCTTGTGTTTGAGAGACATCAGTATGTTCAGTTTATTTTGTGGTCTCTAGCTTTGAACAGTACAGCAGCCCCATGAGCAATTGGGTTTCTGCGTATGTATAATCAATATTCTTCTTTCTGTATGTTAGACTTTGCCATGCTTACAACAAAAAAGAGAAAGTCCAGAATTCAGAAATGGAGCCCTTTCTATTTAGAACTGGTGTTGCTGAAGAGTTCTTGAAGTTGCTGTTCTGTATAATACTGTGAGGGACCAGTAAGACTCTGTTCCCTTCTGGGTCGCGGCACATTTCTCAAACAGGGCACATCACAGACTTACCTACTAATCCTTGGCAGAGACTGTCAATCAGCCTGTTGTATTCGCTCAGTGAGGTCACCAGCAAGTATCCGGACAGGGTGGTGGATCCTCTGGGCTTATATCCTTTCCCCTGGGCCTGGAAAAGAAATCCAGACAGAACTGTCTTAATGAGGGCTCAAGGGCAAAACTCCTCTCACACACCTTGCTGCTAGTATTTAGGGTCTGAGTGACTGACAGCAAATCTCTCTCTCTAAACTTCACACATTGAAAGCATACAGCCACCTCTGGAGGTGGAATTCAGTAGCTGTTTAATAAACACCACGTATTCATTTTGGAAAGGAAATCATCATAGAATCATAGAATATCAGAGTTGGAAGGGACCTCAAGAGGTCATCTAGTCCAACCCCCTGCTCAAAGCAGGACCAATTCCCAGCTAAATCATCCCAGCCAGGGCTTTGTCAAGCCGGGCCTTAAAAACCTCCAAGGAAGGAGACTCCACCACCT